TAATGTTAAGGCATTAGGCCTAATATTTACCACTAAACTACACTACATGTCCAAAAGTATGTTGACAGTGTTGTGTTCGAGGCCACCTAAAGCAAATTGAGTCAGAGTCGGTTAGTTTGCAGCAGCTGCAGCAGGTGTCATCAAAGAGGACGTTGTTGCTAATTTGATAGCTTCTCCCTTTTCAAGAATAACTTTCAACAAGAAGTTAATTATCTAATGATCATCATCTGGTGAGTGGAACTGTGTTTTTTATTGTAGCGTGCTTGAAGTTGTTAGCCATCGCTTTTTCATAAATTCTTAGAATGTTTGGGAATTACGTATAGTAAGACATTTGTGAAAATTCTATAGCAATATAGAGTGGGAAAGCGGACGTGCGTTTGGACAATTAATAGACACTGCAGTAAATAAAACAGAATAAAAACATCTGTCTTGTCCAGGACCGGAGTCTACACAGACATGTGTGCTATAGCCAATTAGAGCTACAGTAGGCCTTTATACAAACAAGCCATTTGCCACACGGGCCTGCCATCATTCACTTTGTACTGGACTGTGTGTTTACAGGCAGTTGCAACACCGGGACTTTAGATCATTAGAACGCATTCGTCAAAAACCACAAAATACACCTGAATGGATTTCTGCAAATATGTAAACACCACAGGAGTCATCTTACATTTGGGAACATTACAGTCCTATTGATCAAACAACCATGAAAATGTAGGCTCTCTCTCCCTTAGTTATGCACATCAACAACAACAAGATCAACAACTAATGCTAGCCAGAGCAAGATGAGCTAAAATGTAACGAAGGAACATTAGATAAACCCTCTCAAACTTCTTCAGCTGCCATCAAAATTGCACTGATAAACGATGGGGAATTGTAGCCTCCTCGACATTCTGCAGCTTGCCTGCCAATGCATGCTTGTCCCAACCAAGTACCCAAGCTAATTGGCACCTCACTCTGACCATTTTATTTGCAGTAGCAGAGCTGGTTAGGCTGTTTACATGTTATCTAGAACGTTCTTGACTAACTATTACTTTTTTTGCCTATGTTTACTGACACCGGTCATATTCAGCGGGTGTTGCAAGTTCGTAAATTCATCAGTTGTTCTGCGCAATGGCACACTCAGACGAGAGTGCTCTGAAATCAGAGTAGATAGCCTGAGTGAATTTGCGAACGCAAGAGATATGCTAACTGGATAACAGTCGTTGAAGTTCTTGCTAGCTAACCAAAGGACACCTGCATCTCTAGCTGCGTATAGCCACCGAAAAACTATACGAGGGGAAAAAGTCAGTCACTCACCCACGCCTCCAATGGCATGACATTACATCCTCCTAGCAGCTAGCTATCTAGCTAACATTAGGCTCAGTGTTTTTAGCTTGCTAAATAAATACAGTTGAAGTCGGAAGTTTACATACACTTAGGTTGGAGTCATTAAAACTAGTTTTTCAACCACTCCACAAATTTATTGTTAACAAACTATAGTTTTGGCAAGTCGGTTAGGACATCTACTTTGTGCATGACACAATTGTTTACATAAAGATTATTTCACTTAGAATTCACTGTATCACAATTCCAGTGGGTCAGAAGTTTACATACACTAAGTTGACTGTGCCTTTAAACAGCTTGGAAAATTCCAGAAAATTATGTCATGGCTTTAGAAGCTTCTGATAGGCTAATTGACATCATTTGAGTCAATTGGAGGTGTACCTGTGGATGTATTTCAAGGCCTACCTTCAAACTCAGTGCCTCTTTGCTTGACATCATGGGAAAATCAAAAGAAATAAGCCAAATCTGGTTCATCCTTGGGAGCAATTTCCAAACACCTGAAGGTACCACGTTCATCTGTACAAACAATAGTACGCAAGTATAAACACCATGGGACCACGCAGCCGTCATACCGCTCAGGAAGGAGACTCATTCTGTCTCCTAGAGATTAACGTACTTTGGTGCGAAAAGTGCAAATAAATCCCAGAACTACAGCAAAAGACCTTGTGAAGATGCTGGAGGAAACAGGTACAAAAGTATCTATATCCACAGTAAAACGAGTCCTATATCGACATAACCTGAAAGGCCGCTCAGCAAGGAAGAAGCCACTGCTCCAAAACCGCCATAAAAAAGCTAGACTACAGTTTGCAACTGCACATTGGGACAAAGATCGTACTTTTTGGAGAAATGTCCTCAGGTCTGATGAAACAAAAATAGAACTGTTTGGCCATAATGACCAATGTTATGTTTGGAGGAACAGGGGGTGGCTTGCAAGCTGAAGAACACCATCCCAACCGTGAAGAACGGGGGTGGCAGCATCATGCTGTGAGGGTGCTTTGCTGCAGGAGGGACTAGTGCACTTCACAAAATAGATGGCATCATGAGGAAGGAAAATTATGTGGATATATTGAAGCAACATTTCAAGACATCAGTCAGGAAGTTAAAGCTTTGTCGTAAATGGGTCTTTCAAATGGACAATGACCCCAAGCATACTTCCAAAATTGTGGCAAAATGGTTTAAGGACAACAAAGTCAAGGTATTGGAGTGGCCATCACAAAGCCCTGACCTCAATCCTATAGAACATTTGTGGGCAGAACTGAAAAAGCGTGTGCGAGCAAGGAGGCCTACAAACCTGACTCAGTTACATCAGCTCTGTCAGGAGGAATGGGCCAAAATTCACCCAACTTATTGTGGGAAGCTTGTGGAAGGCTACCCAAAACGTTTGACCCGTTAAACAATTGAAAGGCAATGCTACCAAATACTAATTGAGTGTATGTAAACTTCTGACCCACTGGGAATGTGATGAAATAAATAAAAGCTGAAATAAATCATTCTCTCTACAATTATTCTGACATTTCACATTCTTAAAATAAAGTGGTGATCCTAACTGACCTAAGACAGGGAATTTTTTACAAGGATTAAATGTCAGGAATTGTGAAAAACTGAGTTTAAATGTATTTGGCTAAGGTGTATGTAAACTTCCGACTTCAACTGTAGATACGCTAGCCTATTAGCCACGTTATGACTGACTTGTGATCATTGCCCTTGTTAGTTTGATTGTATTGACATTCCCAGCCCTAGTTACATTCGTCCGTTTTTGTCCAGAATATTCAGTCATTGAAACTGGAACAGTGCATCCTGAATGGAGGCAGCAAACAATGTACCAGGTCAGCTGTGATTTACAACCTGATAGCAATATTTTTCAGACTACCAAGAAATGTATTGGTGAATTATATTAATCATGCATTGAACTGCATCCATCTATTTTGCCAACAATGCCTTAGTGTACGTCATGGAACGTTGAGTCAAATATAACCTATTTTTAAAACCTCTTATCAAGTTGGTTTTGTAGCATAAACTGGGAATTTTATATTTTTGACTGATATTATACTATGATTGTCTGTTTGTTTCATATCTGCAAAGTAGTTAAAACGCTGTCAGTTCCACTTTAAACTTTAGGTCACTGGTTATTGTGTGCTAAACGTGAAATTATTTTTGCAATGGGAAGTAATAGTTGTAAATTTCGATTGGGAAATGCTGTGATTATTATTGGACCCTGCTGGTCATCTATGAACCTTTGAACATCTTGAAGAACAATCTAACCTTAATGGCCATGTACTCTTATAATCTCCACCTGGCACAGCCAGAAGAGGACTGGCCACCCCTCAGAGCCTGGTTCCTCTCTAGGTTTCTTCCTAGGTTCCTGCCTTTCTAGGGAGTAGACTCAAATTTTGCCAAAAAGTTCCCAAACGGCCCACCCAGCGAAGGAAAGGCACCCTGTATGAAAATTCCTATGTTTTCCTATGTTTTTTTAATGAGTTTTCCTATAGATTTATCAGATTTTCACTCTCAAAATCACACTTTTTAAAATAGAACGCTTAAACCACATCAATCTGATTGGATGGGCCTGTCAGGTACTGGCTCCCCAGTGGGTATCTACGCCCCTGATGCAAACAGCACATGATGACAATTGCGCATGATGACAATTGCGCATCACAAATAGCCTACTAACCAACACTTCCGGGTCCACTTTTTCAATACCTGCTTTGCATACCTATTGTTGCTTTAGTTAGCATTTACTGGTAGATATAATACATTGAAACATCTTTCCTACCCTACCGGCTACCGATGTCATTCTTATGTGAGCTGCTCCATGCCAAAACCAGTTGAGAGCTGCACACTCGCCCACACTAGCCCGAACCATGAAAAACAGCCCTAGACCATTATTCCTCCTCCACCAAACTTTACAGTTGGCACTATGCATTGGGGCAGGTAGCGTTCTCCTGGCATTCGCCAAACCCAGATTCGTCCGTCGGACTGCCAGATGGTGAAGCATGATTCATCACTCCAAAGAATGCGTTTCCACTGCTCCAGAGTCCAATGGCGGCAAGCTTTACACCCCTCCAGCCGACGCTTGGCATTGCGCATTGGTGATCTTAGGCTTGTGTGCGACTGCTCGGCCATGGAAACCCATTTCATGAAGCTGCCGACAAACAGTTATTGTGCTGACGTTGCTTCCAAAGGCAGTTTGGAACTCGGTAGTGAGTGTTGCAACCGAGGACAGACGATTTTTGCGCGCTACACGCTTCAGGCTGTGGCCTACCACTTCGCGGCTGAGCCGTTGTTGCTCCTAGATGTTTTCCCTTCACAATAAGCAGCACTTACAGTTGACCGGGGCAGCTCTAGCAGGGCATAAATGTGACAAACTGACTTGTCGGAAAGGTGGCATCCTATGACGGTGCCACGCTGAAAGTCACTGAGCTCTTCCGTAAGGCCATTCTACTGCAAATGTTTGTCTGTGGAGATTGCATGGCTGTGTGCTCGATGTTATACACCTGTCAGCAACGGGTGTGGCTGAAATAGTCGCATCCACTAATTTGAAGTGGTGTCCACATACCTTTGTATATATAGTGTAGTTTCTACAGTTTAGAGTGCAAATGTTACATTTTGCCGTATTGGCGTTTCAGTGCCGTATTCTTAAAAAAAAAGGCCTTCATCAGGCCGCCTCTATCTCAGACAGTCTTGAAGCTGATGAGGTAGTCAGGGTAGGCCCCTGCATCACAGAACACCACATAAATAAAGGGATTCTGCAGGTCATTGACAGCACAGTCATGCAGGCCCTGATGGAGATCAGTAGGGTTCAGAGGGTTCGGCTCCTTCATGCCCCTCACTCCTAGGCAGGGTTTACCCACCAGCACCCTGGCACGGTACATGTACTTCAGCCCACTGGCGTCTGGGTTGGAGTAGGCATCCTGGCACGAGTACCACGTCTCTTTGGCAAAGTAGGTCCCGTCCCCGTAAACAGTAGCTGAAACCGAAGAAAATCAAAAAGATTCAAGAAAGCTTCAAGTAGTTAAACATGGAATGAAATAGAGGAATCTGGTGAAATTGACAACTATAATGACAAGACAGTTTTTGAAGTGATCATTTGTTTGAATCTTTGTTTGATTAAGCTCTACAGAGCACTACTGTTATCTGAATGGAGTGACAGTGTATGAGTTGATGAAGAATGTTCTTTACCGTTTCTCCCACAGAAGCTCCTATTGAAACCACAGGCGTTGATTTTCTGACAAATGTCTTTGGTGGTGCCGTGGTAAACGTTCAGCTCATTCTTGTTTTTAGGATACTTCTTATCCAACGCCTGTTTCTTCACTGCGTACCTCTGCCACTGGTCTTTGCTCTGAATCCTCTGGATCTGTAGATAAAGCATTATAGATATTGTCAGTGACACAATCACTACATTTCTCTCCTGGTTGTATATAATCTACACTGAAAAAAATATAAATGCAATATGTAAAGTGTTGGTCCCATGTTTCATGAGCTGAAATAAAAGATCCCAGAAATGTTCCATACACACAAAAAGCTTATTTCTCTAAAATTTGATTACACCCCTGTTAGTGAGCATTTCTCCTTTGCCAACACCTGACAGGTGTGGCATATCAAGAAGCTGATTAAACAACATGATCATAACTCAGGTGCATCGTAACTCCTTCTGCTGGGAACAATAAAAGGCCACTCTAAAATGTTGTCACACAACACAATGCCACATATGTCTCAAGTTTTGAGGGAGCGTGCAATTGGCATGCTGACTGCAGGAACGTCCACCAGAGCTGCTGCCAGAAAATGTAATGTTATTTTCTCTACCACAAGCTGCCTCCAATGCCATTTTAGAGAATTTGGCATTAAGTCCAACGGGCCTCACAACCGCAGACCACGTGTAACCACGCCAGCCCAGCCAGGACCTCCACATCCGGCTTCTTCACCTGTGGGATCATTTGAGAACAGCCACCCGGACAGCTGATGAAACTGTCGGTTTGCACAACCGAAGAATTTCTGCACAAACTGTTAGAAACCATCTCAGGGAAGCTCATCTGCGGCTTGTAGTCCTCACCAGGGTCTTGACCTGACTTGACCTTCAGTGGGCAAATGCTCATCTTCGATGGCCACTGGCACGCTGGGGAAGTGTGCTCTTCACGGATTAATCCAGGTTTCAACTGTACCGGGCAGATAGTGTGTATGGCGTTGTGTGGGTGAGTGGTTTGCTGATGTCAACATTGTGAACAGAGTGCCCCATGGTGAGGTTATGGTATGGGCAGGCATAAACTACGGACAGCAAACACTATTGCATTTTATCTATGGCAATTTGAATGCAGAGATACAGTGATGAGATCCTGAGGTCCATTGTCGTGCCATTCATCCACCGCCATCACCTCATGTTTCAGCATGATAATGCACGGCTCCATGTTGCAAGGATCTGTACACAATTTCTGGATGCTGAAAATGTCCTAGTTCTTCCATGGCCTGCATACTCACCAGACATGTCACCCATTGAGCATGTTTTGGATGCTCTGGATTGACGTGTACGACAGCATGTTCCAGTTCCCGCCAATATCCAGTAACTTTGCACAGCCATTGAAGATGAGTGGGACAACATTCCACAGGCCATAATCAACAGCCTGATCAACTGCATGTGAAGATGTGTCGCACTGCTTGAGCCAAATGGTGGTCACACCAGATACTGACTGCTTTGTTTGATCCACCCCCCTAACAACAGATGCATATCTGTATTCCCAGTCATGTGAAATCCATAAATTAGGCCCTAATTAATTTATTTAAATTGACTGATTACCTTATATGAACTGTAACTCAGCAAAATCTTTGAAATTGTTGCATGTTGCGTTTATATTTTTGTTCAGTGTATATCATATCAGTAATAGTTCATTTACCTGGACAATCTGAATGGTTGATTGTGTATTAGTATTTGGTTTCTTGGAGGTTGCAACAAATTCCTTCTCTATGCTCTGGTACTCCCCTGAGTTGGGAGCCAGTGTGACTATCTCCAGGTCCTTGCCGTCCATTCTGGTCCAGCTACGTGGGAACTGAATGACAGCTGAAAAACAGAAGCATAGAGGAAACAATTGAACAGATCATCAATGTAAAAACACAGGATCAATGAGTTATTATCAAATATATGTCAGAGGGCCTGGAGATGTAAAGCAGATGACACATATTTCAATTCATAGGATTAATATTCTCTTGATGTTCTGTATTATACACGTTTGATAAACTATAAATTTGTATGAACTATAAACGATGCTTGACTATAAAGATTTTTCCTAAACATATAACCGAGGTATTACCTGTGTCCGAGTCTGCCACAAGGCTCCTTTTGACTCTGGTGATTGTCCCTTTGCTGTCAGTCTGCTGCATTCTGCTCAGATCAACAGTGAATGTCTCCCCCTGGTGGTTATATTTAAAACTTTTGTCTTTCCTGTGTACGGCCAGCTCGAGATCATAGCTGAGACTCTGGTCCAGCTCTCCCCAGGCCTCTCCCTCCCCGGCCTCCCAGCGCACCGTCTCCCACATCCTCTTCTCCTCTCCCTCCCGGCTCTCCCTGTCCCTCGCCCCCAGCAGATAGTCCCTAATCTGGAGGACGACCGAAAAAACGTTGTCTTTCTTCCCAGAGACAGTGACTTTGTTTGGGGATGCTACCAGGACACGGACCTGGTTCTTCTGGCTCAGGGCCACGATGGCCTGTTTCTGCGGCTCCAGCAGAAGGGGCAGGTGGCTGGAGGGCAGGTCCTGGCTGATGCACTCCTCAGAGACCAGCTTGTCCAGAAGTTTCTTCACCTGAGCCAGGCTGGCAGGGGAGGGCCCGTACACCTCAGTCTCCATACTGGGGAAGACCACGGCTGCTGTGGCGCTGGCCAAACACAGGGCTGGTTTGGTAGGAGCAGGCTGGGCTGGTGTGTTTTTTTTGGCTGTTTTTGTAGAAGTAAATAAATACATACATAATATATGAGAAACATGCTTGTGGAAAAGATTAAACACTTGTAAAGGCTTAAACATTTGTAAAAAAACGATTTTAAAGGCTTATATAGTTATATTTATGAAGACGATTAGGTTACTACTAACCAGCAGGCTTGGGCGTCACCTTTTTGAACTTTTTCATAACCTCATCAAAGTCCTTCATCATCTTGGTTTGGAATATAACAATGTGAATCGTTTTAACTGATGGGGTTCTGATGGTTTTCTGTAGCTCAGTTATTGCGTCCAACATTGCATTCCCGACCGCCATTGCTCCCAAGTTACCAGCACCTGTACAGCAGCATAAACATTTGTGTTTTTGGTGTCCAGTGTTTATCATTACAGTACATGCATAGCAAATAATAAATTCCACTTTTAGGTTTTTAACAATAATACTACAATGTTATTACGCCTACCTGTTCCAAGTGCTGGGATGGAGACCGACTGGAGTTTCTTGTCTTCACACATCTTCAGCACCTTGAGAATGGAGCTGGTGATCTCCTTCTCCTTGGTCTGCCCCACCATGTGAATGATGTGCTTGGTCTGGATGTTTCCAGGTTTGGTCATGACAACACCATCATTGGGTTGGGTCCCTGGGGTCAGAACACAAATGCATTAGCATGTCTAACTTCTAACACAAACACCACTTTTTCAGTTACCCACATTTCAATTCTCATTTACTTTGTTTGTATTTATGGAAGAAATGGAAGTCTCATACCTAAAGCTTTGCACTCGTCCACAACCGACTGTCCAGCTGCTTTTAGAATGGCTCCTGATACACCTACACAGTGAGGAACAACATGAGTGAAATAATCTTCACCTGAAGACCTTTATGATGCAAGAATATCAGATTTGTTTTGCTGATTCGAAATTTGGAATAGGGATCTTGCCTGAGTTCAGATCGAGGCTTGAGTTTGTACTGCTGACGATGGCGTCTGTTATCTCCTTAGTGATGTCACCACATACCACCTTGACCATCACTGGCCCAATCATTGCTTCAATGGTGTTTCCTGGATAAAGGGTAAAGGTTACAGAGGAAGGATAAGTAGCAGACATCAACTGTAGCAGAATGTCACATGCTGTAATAAATTGGAATTGTACGAACCTGTCTGACCACTGCTGCCATCGTCTTCCCCAGAGCTGGTGGTATCATCATAAAAATCATCCTCAGAGTCACTGTCATCATCATCACCATAAAGATCATCTTCATCCTGGATGACAATCCAAAGAATGGGTTTAAAAACAACAACTATACACAGTAATGTACACTGAGTTGCACCCCCCCCCCCCCCTTTGCCCTCAGAACAGCCTCAATTCGTCGGGGCATGGACGACTCTTCAAGATGTCGAAAGGGTTTGTAGTATCTGAGGAATTATGACTTTGCTAACGTTTTCAAATGGAACCTGAGAGGAGGTTTATTCAGCTTAGAGGGAGCATCTGGGGAGCAGTTTTAGGGGGACACCCCATAGAACAGAGGAAGTATTGAACAACCATGGCCAGTGGAGTCAAGTGATTGAATAATAGAGAGAGGAAAAGCAGAAACGACCATAAAGATGAATCCAAAACTCCAAAAGTAGGAAGAAAATGAGATGTCTGGAAACTAAGGGTGGAATGAGGTTCAGGAAGATGGAACTTGAAGATGATGATGATGATGATGATGATGAAGATGATGATGATCAGAGTGATTGAGAAGAGATCATGGGTGGATATGACCCTGTGATCAGATGGAGGTTGGCCAGAGCGGAAAGAAGGGGTGATGGATGTTTGAAGAAGAAGAATACAAGAGATTCGAGTTCTGATGAAAGTAAAGATGGATACAGCGATGAAGATTTGGAGATTAAAGGTGCTTTATGTTCAAGAGGATTTTATCCTACAATGATTAGCAAAGAAGAAATAGAAAGAGATATAGACTGATGCGTATTATGCCTGGATAAGGGGAATAATTTAGAAGAGACAACGAGAACTGGAACAACAACTCAAGAAGCTGAAGATACAGAAGAGAAGAGGAAAAAACTGCTGAGAAAAGGATCCCAAGAATTGGAGAAGCATACATTGAGGAAAGGAAAGAGAGCACAAGTAAGAAGATGATGGAAGATGATATTTCGAGGACAGAGCCTAGAATATAAGCCTTTGAAGAATACCGATATGTAAACAACTAGAAAGAACAGGACCAAGAAACTCTCAGAAAACTCAATCAAATACAACTCGGGGAGAAGAAGAAGGAGAAGAAAAGCTTTGGTTATGAAGAATCAGTGTGCGCCAAATCAACAATCACTGACACAGCTTCAACTGAACAAGGTCAAATGCAATTGTACCAGCCACACCTAGTGGTACAAGTTGTTTCATATCCATAGATAGTTTCTGGACTGTGAAAGAATTGGAGAGGAAGAGGACGAGAAGGCTTAGAAAGAGGAAGAGGAAGATTTAAGCCATACTTCCAGCAATCTTAAGAAGTGTGTTATAGTTGTGGACAGGTTGGTCACTTTGCTGTGAGTGCAATGGGCCAGAAGGAAACATCAGAGGGAATTTCAGAGGAAGATACAGGAGCAAGTGAAGATCATCTGGAGGACAGGTGAACCCTTATAGGGACAAGGAGCAAGGATTCTAGGGGTGCCTAGAAGATCCGAAAGGGGGGTGTCAGCTGGTAGCATCAGGACCGGAAAAAGATCCAACAATTGAAGTGAAAATAAACAAAGGACTATGGGAAGTGATAGCGGATAGTGGAACAGCTTTTATCTGTGTTCAGCCTGTGTCACGGTTTCGGCCGAGGCTGCTCCTTCTCCTTGTTCGGGCATGTTTCGGCGGTCGTCGTCTCCGGAGTACTAGCTGCCACCGTTCTATGTTTCTATGTTTGATTGGTTTTGTCTGTTTTGTTACACCTGTTCCTTGTTAGTGTTCATTATGCGTCCTATTTAGTTCTCTTGAGTTTGGTCAGGTGTTGTGTGTAATTGTTCGATGTCACGTGTTGTGTTAGTTCGTTGTTCTGTTCTCTCTATATATTTTTGTTAGAGAGAGTCCCGCACTTTGTGCGCCTTTATTTTGTACTTTACCTTTGTGCGTAAAGTTCGCCTGTTGCCTGTTGCCGTGGTTGACTTGTTCTTTGGACTTCACTAAAGACGTCTGTTCGAAACCTCTGTGTGTCCTGCGTGTGATTCTACGCTACCTCTACACTCAACCCTGACAGCCTGAAGAGGTTACACATCTCACTATGTAAAATTGACTAATTAGGATAGGGATTTGAGGGAGTAAAACAGTTGATTACTCTTAAGGAACCAATTGAGCTCTGCTATAAAAATCAAAGAAAATTAAAATACCCATACTGGTATCAGAACATATACCTATTGCATTGTTGGGAAGAGAAGCATTGTGTAAGTTGAAATGTACAATAAGATGTACACCAGACGGCTGTCTGGTAGAAGTGCCAAAGGAGAAGGTTTACCAATGGTTGATGATGACAGAGATGGATTTGTCTTTAGTATTCTGGATTGGAAATCTCAGTGAAGATTCTTTAAAGAAGGCTAAGGTTAGGAGAAAGATTATAAAAGAGTAGGGTTTTTGGGAACCATATTTGCTTGAAAAGATATATATCATAGGAAGGAGGACAATGTCAAACTAAGCTAAAATATGCTCAGTCGTTTGCCAAGTCTGTGTGTAAAGAAGTCATAAGCAGGTGGGGACTTCCCAATCACATATTCTAAAATTAGTGGGAAAGGAATTTGTGGATAAATCAGTGAAATGGTTTTTGAAAAATTAGTGGGAAAGGAATTTGTGGATAAATCAGTGAAATGGGTTTTGAAAAAAGTTAGGAGAAAAGTCAGATTAAAAAAGTTAAGAAAACTAGGGTTGAAGGAACTCTAGGACAGTCAGCTAAGCTTCAATGTTAGTAGTAAGAGAGAGAGAACAGTGGTGAAGGAAAATTTAGAGTTCAGTGGGAAGATACAGTGGGGAAAAAAACTATTTAGTCAGCCACCAATTGTGCAAGTTCTCCCACTTAAAAAGATGAGAGAGGCCTGTAATTTTCATCATAGGTACACGTCAACTATGACAGACAAAATGAGAAAAGAAATTCCAGAAAATCACATTGTAGGATTTTTAATGAATTTATTTGCATATTATGGTGGAAAATAAGTATTTGGTCAATAACAAAAGTTTCTCAATACTTTGTTATATACCCTTTGTTGGCAATGACACAGGTCAAACGTTTTCTGTAAGTCTTCACAAGGTTTTCACACACTGTTGCTGGTATTTTGGCCCATTCCTCCATGCAGATCTCCTCTAGAGCAGTGATGTTTTGGGGCTGTCGCTGGGCAACACGGATTTTCAACTCCCTCCAAAGATTTTCTATGGGGTTGAGATCTGGAGACTGGCTAGGCCACTCCAGGACCTTGAAATGCTTCTTACGAAGCCACTCCTTCGTTGCCCGGGTGGTGTGTTTGGGATCATTGTCATGCTGAAAGACCCAGCCACGTTTCATCTTCAATGCCCTTGCTGATGGAAGGAGGTTTTCACTCAAAATCTCACGATACATGGCCCCATTCATTCTTTCCTTTACACGGATCAGTCGTCCTGGTCCCTTTGCAGAAAAACAGCCCCAAAGCATGATGTTTCCACCCCCATGCTTCACAGTAGGTATGGTGTTCTTTGGATGCAACTCAGCATTCTTTGTCCTCCAAACACGACGAGTTGAGTTTTTACCAAAAAGTTATATTTTGGTTTCATCTGACCATATGACATTCTCCCAATCCTCTTCTGGATCATCCAAATGCACTCTAGCAAACTTCAGACGGGCCTGGACATGTACTGGCTTAAGCAGGGGGACACAGCAGGATTTGAGTCCCTGGCGGCGTAGTGTGTTACTGATGGTAGGCTTTGTTACTTTGGTCCCAGCTCTCTGCAGGTCATTCACTAGGTCCCCCCGTGTGGTTCTGGGATTTTTGCTCACCGTTCTTGTGATCATTTTGACCCCACGGGGTGAGATCTTGCGTGGAGCCCCAGATCGAGGGAGATTATCAGTGGTGTTGTATGTCTTCCATTTCCTAATAATTGCTCCCACAGTTGATTTCTTCAAACCAAGCTGCTTACCTATTGCAGATTCAGTCTTCCCAGCCTGGTGCAGGTCTACAATTTTGTTTCTGGTGTCCTTTGACAGCTCTTTGGTCTTGGCCATAGTGGAGTTTGGAGTGTGACTGTTTGAGGTTGTGGACAGGTGTCTTTTATCCTGATAACAAGTTCAAACAGGTGCCATTAATACAGGTAACGAGGGGAGGACAGAGGAGCCTCTTAAAGAAGAAGTTACAGGTCTGTGAGAGCCAGAAATCTTGCTTGTTGTAGGTGACCAAATACTTATTTTCCACCATAATTTGCAAATAAATTCATTAAAAATCCTACAATGTGATTTTCTGGATTTTATTTTCTCAATTTGTCTGTCATAGTTGACGTGTACCTATGATGAAAATTACAGGCATCTCTCATCTTTTTAAGTGGGAGAACTTGCACAATTGGTGGCTGACTAAATACATTTTTTCCCCACTGTAGATATGGTAGGAGTTTAGATCTGTTAGGAGCAGATGCATTGAGAAAGTATGCGTTGCTGAATGATAAGAGAAGATTGAGGGTGATTGCAGTATCTATATTTACAATTTCCAGCAGGAAGATCAAGGTGATTATGAATGTATTTTTTATAATCAACAGTTTGAAAGTGAGGGATTAGAGTTGGGACTGAGAGTTAATGTAGTGACACTAGTGGTGATAGATGGAAATACAAGTCAAGAGTTCAAAGCCTTAGGGAGAATGGGTGAATTAACAACAATGACATCAACACTTCAGCCTATTATAACAACAGTGAGAAGCAATTTAACTCTTTCAACATTGACAGTTATTAAAGCTATAAATATATCACATTTGATTACAAGGGAGCCAATCGCTCCAGCACCAATTTTAGAGGAAAAGACTGTCATTAGGGTTAGGATGGTTGATACAGCTCATCTTCCTTGTAGATGTGAGAGAAGGAATGTGTAGAGGTGATATTCCTCTCATATGGAGAGATAATTATGGAGAAGAAGTGTTGTTATGAAGACCAGAAGTAGAAGCTGTTTCACCTAGTCAAAGGAAGTATATTTTGTAGAACGATAGGAAGTGAAAGAGGGTTATGAGTGATTGCTAACTTATTTTGAGTAATGTTAGAGGGAGAATACTATCATGGAGGTACAGGATGAGTTCTTTGATTTTACTGGAAGACAAGAAGATATATCTGATCAATACAGTTCGTTAGGGAAGAGAGAAACTAAATGGAAGGCATATGGATTTGATTCTTCTGTTTGAAAATTAAAGATGGATGGGCAGGTAGGAATCTTTGGTTCAATGAGTTAACTCATTCTGTAAGATCAGTGAGGAATCTTGAGGGTAAATGTCTGTTGAGAATTTCAGCATAAGGAAAATGGGGTTGAATCTTAGAAGGTAGCTAAACTTCTATCAAGTATGTGTCAATCTTATGCTTTATTACATTTACATTTTAGTCATTTAGCAGACGCTCTTATCCAGAGCGACTTACAGGAGCAATTAGGGTTAAGTGCCTTGCTCAAGGGCACATCGACAGATTTTTCACCTAGTCAGCTCGGGGATTAGAACCAGCGACCTTTCGGTTACTGGCACAACGCTCTTAACCACTAAGCTACCTGCTGCCCTTTATCATGGCTGTTGTATCAGCAACAATCATTAACAGATACAATAATGTAGTTGTGGAAACATTTGTTTAGGCCTAGGTTTAAGTGTTATTGGTTAAGTGAATTAACCTATGTGAATTTGTTAGATAGGAAGATAAATCAGTTAACAGCGCTTCATGAAGCATTGGAGAGGAAACCAGTGAGGGCTGTTTTTGTTCTAATAAAACATATGATGGAAAGGGATGTTTAGGGGAATATCAGATTGTGATGATTATATGATGACTTTGGGGTAAGCAGGAACATAAGGTTAGTAATGAGAAATATAATGTAACTTTTGAGGTTTCATTTAGTAAGGAGAGAAGTTTTGCATGGTAATGTGACTATTGGGGGATTTTAGAAACATCTGGGGTTTGGTGAGAGAATATATTCTTACCCTATGGATGGATAGGATGTTGTTACATGTTGAAGTTGAAGCTTCCATATGAGGTTTTTAAAATAAATTAAAAGAGGGGAAGCAAGGGGAAAGAGAGAAATCTGATTCTGAAAGAGAGAAGTTTCATAGTCTGGGAAGCCTACCATTGGAGGATAAGTCTAAGAGAGAAGTGGGGATTTTTCCATGGTATGGTGTAAAATTTGGGAAGATAACATAGATAATATTACCTATAATTTGAAGGGTTTTGCAAATGAAACGATAAGAGGGTTTAACCTTCTGTCAAGACTCAAAGGAGTATTGATAGATATATATCAGTTTTGATTATCCGATCATTTTTAGAGGTTTTTCAATATTAGTGTGATTTTAGTATTTTGTTATTTTGTTATGAATCAAAGGGGGGAAATAGAATGTGATTCATTTGATATATCATTTTTATATTTTTAGTTGATATTGATGTTCTAATTTGAATGTGTTGTTTTGCAAAAGATATTGTTTGGTCTTTTATTTTCTTCCAGAAGCATATGGGGGAATATGTAGAGGGGATTCAAATGCTCAAACAAGGACAATATGAAGGGACAATATGAAAGGACAATATGAAGGGACTGGAGGAAGTGGAACAAGGAAGGTGTGGAAATGTTCTGATTCCATCATCGACGATGCATTGGAAGTCGACACTGCTGAGGAGATGAAGTGTAGTGGACTACATTCCAGTGTCTGCAATGATATATAGACATATTTGCATGTGTAATACATAAATTGTGTCATTTTCTTTCTGTATAAATTTTTGTAGAATGATATTTGCTGTTATTGGGTACATGTGGGGATCTCAGATGTTTTTGTTTATTTCGTGGAAGCTTAGGGATATTGGGTCTAGGCAGGGATAGAGAGAATCCACAGGAGGGTCCGATGGGTCGACCAGCCTGAGTGTGGACATTTTGGATTGTATTTTGTTTGCTGAGGCTTTCATGTGTATTTAATTGCATCATAGTTTCAAATGCATTGATAAAGATTTATGAATTGATCTGGAGTACTTAAGTGGTTGCCTGGGGCAGAGGGGCCGTGAGAGAATTTTACTGTCTTGATTGATGGATGGATATTTGGAAAGAAGGCTGCCAGACAGGTTTTTCGCTCTCACACTCCATAAAGATTTGTTCATATTTCATAGAAATGTATTCACACTCCATAAAGATTTGTTCAAATTTCATAGAAATGTATTTACACTTCATAGAAAAATGTGTTTTTGGTTTATTGTTAAAAATACTCAATAAGAGAGATTGTTATTTGTCATAATCCTATTATTTTTGTTTTCGAGACTTAATTTGTCTCGAAGGGGGGAATATGTAGTATCTGAGGAATTATGACTTTGCTAACGTTTTCAAATGGAACCTGAGAGGAGGTTTATTCAGCTTAGAGGGAGCATCTGGGGAGCAGTTTTAGGGGGACACCCCATAGAACAGAGGAAGCCTGTTGTGTGGAGACAGGTGATTGGTCTGTATGGGAAACCACCCACAGCAGGGTAAAGATTATAAATACTTGGTTGAGACAAAGGAGAGCAGAATAATCATATTTGAGATGGGGCGATTATTCTCCAGATAACTGCAGGTATCTGTAAATCGACGCTGTAACCCTTTGTTATGAATAAACCTTTATGATGAAAATACAGCGTCAGCGGTTCTCCTTGGTATCACAGCATAATTAGCAACGTTTACTCGACACAACAGGTTCCACAGGGATGCTAGCCCATGTTGACTGCAATGCTTCCCACAGTTGTTTCAAGTTGGCTGGATGTCCTTTGGGTGGTGGACCATTCTTGATACACACAGGAAACTGTTGAGCATGAAAAACTCAGCAGCGTTGCAGTTCTTGACACACTCAAACTGGTGCGCCTGGCACCTACTACCATACCCCGTTAAAAGGCACTTAAATCTTTTGTCTTGCCCAGTCACCCTCTGAATGGCACACATACGCTGATTGAAGTGGATTTAACATGTGACATTAAATAATAATATGCCATTTAGCAGACGCTTTTATCCAAAGCGACTTACAGTCGTGCGTGCATACATTTTTGTGTATGGGTGGTCCCGGGGATCGAACCCACTACCTTGGCGTTACAAGCGCCGTGCTCTACCAGCTGAGCTACAGAGGATCATAGCTTTACCTGGAATCACCTGGTCAGTCTATGTCATGGAAAGAGCAGGTATTCCTAATTTTTGTACACTCAGTGTAAGTATACTATACATCCACAGTATGTCTGAAGATTAGTTATATTAACAATGGCAGTTATGACATTATTATTACAAAGTTAGTTACTTTTTTATATTCATATTTCTTTAAAGCTAGAATCCTTAGCTACATACATTTTTTAAAACTTATAAATGAATGATATATACCCATTGATTCTTGAAGAATATAACTTATAAATGCCTCATGAACTTAGTTCAAATGTTGTACCCCATCAGAACCCAAAATATAAGCTTGTTTTACTCCAATGTTTATAAACAACGTAACATAAACAAACACTGTTTAGCCTCAAACATTAATCATGGATGGTCAGTCCTTGCATCCATAGCTCTGTCTATAGATCTGAGAGCGGTTCTCCAGCCCCATCCCTTAGCTTTTTAGCGAAACAGGTGTGGGGAAAATGCTTTGTTATTGTTTCAATAAAGGATTCTAGCTTTAACATACCATCTGGCTAGTCTTCCACTGGTTGAGCCCCAGCTGACACTCCTGCAGGACCTTGTCCTCATAGATGACGATGTAGATCAGTTTGATGATGGTAGAAAAGAGGCACTGTGATAGATGATCCTGGATGCCCTGGAGGATGGCACCAATGGAGTCTGTACCATTAAGGCCCCCACCTCCTACAATGGGAACGATAAAAGAATCACTGCATTAGGTGTAGCTGAAAAATCGGACAATAGCTGTGGATAACTTGACAAATTAAAATGCCAGCATGTTGGGAGCCTACAAAAATGATTTGATCCGAGTTTTAATAACAACCGTTTATAATAACCTGTAATAACACTGAACGACTAATAACCCATTGCCTACCAGTGCCCACAGCAGGGAACGACACGGTTGCGATCTGTTTGTTCTCACAGCACTCCAGCACCTTGGTGACTCGTAGTGTAGCGTCAGCCACAGAGTGGGGCCCCAGCATGTGAAGGATGAAGTCACACTGCAGGTCCCCTCCACTGGTCACCCCTGCTGCATCAGCCCTCAGAGGGCCTGGAGATGTAAAGCAGATGACACACATACACCCAGAGAGAGAGAGAGTCAGACTGAATGGCTGTGATACACCACAGGTTCCATTTCTTCTGATATGGGAGATGGGAGACACTCACAAATGGTTTTGCACTCCTGTTCAACTGCGCTCCCAGCTGCTTTGAGAATCGCAGCACTAACTCCTGAAAATAACATGTTTAAAATTAGGTTGTATCCAGTAGGTAGGAAGAAAGTTATATTAACAGAAGAAATCATATTTTCTGGAGTGCGCTAACAATGTAAAATGTTATGTCGTTTTTTCAGTATACAGACCTCTTGTTAAGCTGATACCCGAGTTGGTGGTATTCACGATGCCTCTGACAGTTTCTTGAGTGATGTCGCCTCTCCTCACTTCAATTCTGACACCATGGATCTTAACTAGGGGAGGGAAAAGGTAAACATTTCACCCACACACATTGTGATAATTATACAAATGCACATTTTAAAATAGGACAACATGAATTCATTTCAAATGTAAACAAAGATGTATCAAAGTCAGACCTTGATTTGGGGGAAGACTGGACTGAGAAGGTGTAGATGTTGATGCAGCCTAGATAAAACCCATAACCTCTAGTTATCACACTCATCAACAAAACAGAAAATGTTTAATTGAGCCTTAGTTGAATGAAATCTACCTGCTTGATTTTGTGTGGGCCCAGGTTCCTTTTGTTAAAGTAATCTCTCAAGAGGTCAAAGATCTTCTGCTCAAAGGCCACTATGAAGATGGTTTTGATGCTGGATGAAGGCATCTGTGATATGTGTCTCTCCAGTCCTTTTAGTATGGCCTTGATGGAATCTTTGGGCTCAATGCCACCTTTCCCTGAAGCACAAGACATCAGCATCCAAAGTGAGAAATAGATCAATTGAAACAAATAAATGGATCAATTAATCAATACAAGTGACACTGGAATGGAACATTTAGTTTTACAATATATTCCAGTTGAATCACCTGTGCCAATAGTAGGAATGGACACTGTGACTGCCTTCCTTTTCTCACACAGATTAAGGACTTTCTCTATGGAGGTAGTGATATCTGCAGCATTCTTGGGCCCAACTATCTGAGCTATGTTCTTACAGTTCAGGTTCCCACCACGTGAGAGCATAACACCATCGTCCTTCAGGGCACCTGGGGAAATTGGGACAAAAAGTCAGTATTCTGTCTACTACCACTACTGGTCTGGTAGCAAGCTGAATACTGTATTATTTCTAGAAATACTTTGATGTTTGATTTTATAACCTAATCTTATCATATCAAGTATTATCGCTTGACAAAGTCCTCTTGTAAATGGGACTTCCTGGATAAATTAAGGTTGAATAAAAAAGTATACCTTACCAAGATATTGTACCATTCTTCTGCATTCATCCACTACTGATTTCCCAGCTTCCTTTAGGATGGCTCCAGACACACCTGTTGAGATAATATATAAGATAGAGACTTACCGTACACCGTCAAATGAAAACAAACTGAAAACAAACCATGTGTTAAAAACATTAAAACAGACACTTGCCAGAATTAAGATTCAGATGATGGTTGTTGGAATTCACTATGACATCCACTGTCTCTTTGGTGATGTCTCCCTTTTTCAGCGTCACTGACACTCCACCAATAATCACTGTTAATAGAAGAAAATTTAAGAAAGCAGATCTAATTAAATGGAACAATTACCCCACCGAAGACATTTTTTGAAAAAGTATACTCGGTCATAACAGACTTTATATGGGCAAATAAAACTCATAGAATAAAAAGGAACGTTTTACATCTTCCTAAGCCTGAGGGTGGTTTTAACCTTCTAGACTATGAATTGTATCAACTCGCTACCCAATGTTTTTCCTTGCGACATATACACTGAGTATATAGTCTCAGTGATGCTGAATTGAGTTGCACCCCCCCCCCCCCCCCCTTTTGCCCTCAGAACAGCCTCAATTCGTCGGGGCATGGACTCTACAAGGTGTCGAAAGCATTCCACAAGGATGCTGGCCCATGTTGACTCCAATGCTTCCCACAGTTGTGTCAAGTAGGCTGGATGTCCCTTGGGTGGTGGACCATTCTTGATACACATGGGAAACTGTGGAGCATGAAAAACCCAGAGGTGTTGCAGTTCTTGACACAAACCGGTGTGCCTGCCTGGCACCTACTACCATACCTTGTTCAAAGGCACTTCAATCTTTTGTCTTGCCCATTCACCCTCTGAATGGCACACATACACAATCCATGTCTCAATTGTCTCAAGGCTTAAAAATCTTTAACCTGTCTCCTCCCCTTCATCTATTAACCTGTCTCCTCCCCTTCATCTACACTGATTGAAGTGGATTTAACAAGTGACATCAATAAGGGATCATAGCTTTCACCTGGATTCACCTGGTCAGTCTATGTCAGCATTTCCCAAACTCAGTCCTGGGGACCCCAAGTGGTGCACATTTTGGTTTTTGCCTTAGCACTACACAGCTGATTCAAATAATAAAGCTTTGATTATTTGAATCAGCTATGTAGTGCTAGGGCAAAAACCAAAACGTGCACCACTTGGGGTCCCCAGGACCAAGTTTGATGCACTAAAGAGGAACAATGGGTACATATTGAAGATGCGCATGCGCATCCCCAGAATATTTTCATGTGTCTATTTTCAAAGGATAAACCTAATAACATGAACAACTTCATAGTTAAGAACACTATAACACTATGGAAGAAGATTAAACGTATTCTACAAGAACCAATATCACTCCCTAAAAACACAACCCTATAGAACAATCCTTGGATAGCTTTTCAGAATTCACCGATAAATTGGTCCACATGGAAAACTAAAGGCACAGAAACCGTAAATGACTTGGTAACACGAAATACATTTATTTCCATGACAGAATTAAAAAGCAATTTTGGACTGACTGATGTAGATATTTTCAAATACATGCAACTTAAAAGTTACATATCACGAAATGTTGATTTGAAATCTTTTGGACATCAGAGCAACCTTGAGTCAGAAAAGGATGTTCATGTGATAGGAAATATATTTCAAAACCTTGCAGAGAGTCTATCCAACTGACAATCTCAGAAAAAATAAATAAACTATTGGAACCAAGACTTAAAAAGAACTGATGTTGGCACAAGATGGAGGGAATGTTAGAGCATAACTAATGAAATTACAGTTAACTAAAGTGTATTAATCCAGTATAAACGAATGTATAGAAGTTATTATACAAGAGACAAAATTCACAAATTCTACAGCACAACGGCAGAGTCATGTCTTAAGTGTAAAACTAACAATGACTCAATAATCCATGCCTTCTGGAAATGCTATAAAGTACAAAAGTTATGGGCGGATCTAGAAAGTTGGCTGTCAGTTAATCCGTCTGTCTGCATATTTCAAGACATGGCATATGGGGGTGTAGTGAGATACCCAATGGGCTGGATGATTCTCTTCTCATCACTCGTCTTGAAAAAACATATACTAAAAACTTGGAAATCAATTTGTGAGGACAGGGCATGTTATAGGTTTCCTGCAGTATTCAACCTTATGGTATGATGATACAAAAATGTATGGTTGAAGAAACGAACCTTTGATGTCTGAGCCTGGTTTAGCCACTAGGGGTGGTGGTGAAGGTGTGTTATTTGAGGCAGTAGCTGCAGAGGGAGCAGTTGGAGTCGTGCCTGTTGCTGTTTTGTTGGTTGTTTGTTGTCGACGATAACCCTGTTCAATCAAGTAGGACAAGAAGAGGTTTGACTTTCAACAGGAATACTTGTCCCCATTTACAATAACACTGCACATTTCTTCTTTAATCAAACCCATGCATGTACCAAGGTTTGGCATGGTATGTTAATCACAGGTATAGCCAGGTGGCATTATAAACAAACACTAAACATGGAATGGGATGTTGAGAAAAGGACTTACCTCTCCTTCAATGGCTGACTGGAACTCCCCCACTATCTTGGCGTCGGAATCTATCACAAATATGTTCCTCAGGTGTTGGGGTTTCTGTTTAATGAATCCGAGGACTCCCTTGATAACTGCTGCACAACTCTCTGTGACGGGAAAACCAAAGGTGCCACACCCCATCGCTGGCATCCATATGGAGATGCACTTCTTGATGTCTGCATTCAGTAAACTGTCCTGGACCGTTGATTGTAGATGTATATTTTTAAGAGTTGAGGTGTCCTTCCCCCATACTGGAATCACTGCATAGATGAGGTGCTGAGCTCCAAGGGTGCCTGGGTTGGACAAGACCACATCTCCTGGCTGTAGAGTCTGCCTCTCCTTCAGGAACTTGTCAAACACCTTCCTGATCTCAGGCCCACCAATCTGAAGGAACTGCTTGGCAATTGGAGTATCAAAGGACAGACTGCTGCTCATAGGGCAGATCAAAGCATCTGCAGCATGTTGGGAGATGTTACCCTGACCAACAGTTAAAGTGACGCAACCTTCTATGTTGTAGCTGTATTTCTGACAGTGGTTAATCACTGGCGATAGGTAGAGCTTGCACCCTAAATCCTTGACCTTAGCCTGCAGATCCACTTGGTTCTTCTCTAGGACTTCGGACTCTCCGGCTTTGGAGTATGTGTACCTCTCCATTGTAATTGTACTGACCTGCTGTTTCACTGCATCTACGGCCTCTTTGATTTTATCACCCGCTGCCGTGATCTTCAGACAAGGAGATCCTTGTGTTATGCATGGCAGTATAGTCACGCCCAGAGCCTTGATTTCAGGGACCTCTGAGAGGTTCATGCAAGAGGCCACAAACTCTACTTCCTGGACTGATTTGAGAGAGATGTCCACCGTTTCTGGCTTCTTGTTGTCCAGGTATCCCCTCAACTTCCCTGACACATCTGCCACCACACTGGAGAATCCACAGACTACAATCTTCTCCTGTGTTACGGAGATGCTGACATTGTGGTTGTTCTTGGTGAATTTGAGCTCGCCATTAAGTACGGCAAAGAACTGTGTCCATTGTTCGCCATTGGTCAGATGGGCTTGGTCTTGTGTGAGTTTGATGACTTCTTCTTTGATGACCTCATGTAATTTGTCTTCAGCTCTCTGGACGTCAGCTTTTTCTGCCAGGATCTGGATAGAACCATCACCAAGGAGAAATACAGACGATATGTGGTTCTGGGCAAAATGCTCCCTCTCAAACTTCTTCAGGTCCAGAGATTTCAAGAACTCCATCAAAGGCACTGATACATCAAGCAGTTTGGCTTCAACATTCCCCATGGCCTCTTGGACAACACCTTCTGCTGTGCTCACCTTGTTCTCCAAACCCTTTAGACATATGATAAAGCTTTCTTCATCTTTGGAAAACTCCACGTCCACTAGTTTGCCAGAGACAAGATTCCAGATGATCTCAAACTTCTCTTTGGAGTCCAGTGAGATCTTTCTTACTATTGTGTTCCTCTCCATCTCAAGCTCATCACTGACCTTCTTCACCATGTGCTCAATCTTCTCCACAAGGGTATTCACCTCATTCTGCACGCCTACCACCACAATCTCACCATTGCTCTTCTTGTAAGAAATGCTGGCATCAGGGGATTTGAGGCCAAGACAACTACTCTCAGCCCTTTCCCAGACCTCCACCGTTGTGGGCAGCTGAACCTCTTTGTATTTCTCTAGCAAGGCCAGAGCCTCTCTCCGGACAATTCGTCCCCATGTAGGGCCCAGTCTGAGCATGCCCAAGGACTCCTTCTCCATGGTCATGTCCAGCTCTATCTGTGGGGGTTCTGTGGTCATATTGAAGGAGACACTAGCATTGACCTTACGTAGTCCAGTTGTTAAATCCTGCTTGCGGCCTTCATCACGTTTAATGAAGTCGAAAAGTGCTGAGCTGAGACAAAGGGCTATGTTAGAAGGGATATCTGACTGGGGGGCTGTTTGCCCAGTTAAAGCCTTCTGCAGACTGGAGTAGAATAGCTGAGCTATGAGGTCCACCCCACCGAAATTATGCATGTGTTCCACCACCTGATAGGCAACTGGAATAAGGAGAACAGAGGGCAGAATGATTTACTGAACACGTTAGCTTAAAACTTATTCCTATTTCTAGAGGATAATGTAATTGAAAAGGGGCCTACCATGACAGTCTTCAAAGGTGATGACCATGCTCTTGCCCTTGGTAACCCAGATCTGGGACTTGATATCTCCTCCTTTGCTCCTCTTGCTGGAGAAGTAGAGATTGAGGGCCTCCTCCACTCCTCCTTTGATTTGGCTCATGTCCCCCTGGACAAGCACAGAGTCTGTCAGCTCTAAACGACACGCCCCGATCTCCATGCCCTGGAACTTCTTTGATGAACATTTCCTAAGGAAGGACTTTATGTCTGAGTAACATAAAATGTTAATAGTTCGATTAGTATTGTATGCCGTTGTTTGGTAATTGAACTTAATTTAATGGCGTAATATTAGCGATATTGTGTATACATCTTTTTGATGTATCTGTGGACTCACCAATGTTCTGTTTGAAGGTGACCACTATTCTGTCTCCATCGTCCAGGGTCTCCCAGGCATGCTCAGCCCCTTGGCTGCAGCTGCCGATGAACAGAGAGATGATGTCGCACTTGCAGCTCTCATTGAACCCAGTCAGGATGAAGCGCCTGTTGTCCAGTTTCCCTTCCACAGCTGTCTCATTGTACACCTCCACAGAAATGCCATACTGATGCTCCTTCTTGGCAAGGACTTTCTCTGCATCTGACAGGAGGTACAGAATTTATTGTTGGGCATGATTGTCCAAACAGACTCAAGAAATAAACGCATATGATGTTCACCTGTTGATATAAGTAGATGACATGTAATGTAATGTAACAATGTCAATTCTCTAAAATGCAAAGACTCAAATAGCAGCCATTGTGTTCTTGTGACTGGGAAGGAAGCATTTCCTCATGACCCCTATTCCCAGCTGAGATGAGACATTCCATTTTACAGTCATAGCAAAGTAACCTCTGAATGATAAACAAGTATGACAGATCTAATTATAGTGTTTATTCCAACAGGTACAAAGTTGAAAAGTACAGTGATTACAGTAAAATAAATACAAGTGTGTGGTTAACAACTCCTACATACAGTAAATCCACAATATAATATTAATTTGAGGAAAGAAGTTTTAAATGACATAAGTCTATGGAAAAAAAAAAACCTTACCAGACTGAAAGGACAGTTTGAGGATCCAGCTATTCTTGCCATGTCTTGTAATGCTGACTCCTTCTTCTTCTGATGCAAACTGGTCAAAATACAATTTAAGGAGCTCCTTTTCGAGTTCCTTGGTGGTTCTAACAAGCAGTGAATATGTATCTGCTTTTAGATCCTTATCCTCCACTGAATCTGAAAAATAAACAGAAAGACACACATACATACACACACACACACAGAGAGAGAAAGAGAGAGAGAGAGAGCATGAACATTAATGTGATTCCCATATTGATGTTATATATTGATGAATAAGTGTCTTTATGAATATCAATCTTACCTGCTTGACTGTCTGACACTGGCTGCTACATCACAGATAAAGACAGGCACCGAAAAACACAAATGAAGACATGTCAAAATATTGTAATATGGCAAACTTGATGCAATATAACAAATACACAAATAATCACCTTCTCTTCCGTGTTGGGTGCAGATTTCCCCACAAGAGTCAGATTGTCTCTTTTTGGGTGAGGTAAGAGAGGTGGTTTAACATTCTTCACTTTTGTTTCACCGCCATCCTCTTTCAGTTTCACTTGAAGCTCAACCACCCCAATGGGTTTTTTAAAATCTATCTTATGATCTCTTTTAGCCAACACTTTCTGCAGACCTGGGGAAAAGATCAAATAGCATCATTAGGTACAGTATATGTAGTCTAGGCCTAATTCATCCATTTTACAAAACCAGATTCTGCTGTTTTGGCTCCTAAAACATTACATTACTGAACACAATCTTGGTGCTTCGGATGTTTGTCAACAGTTAGATTGTTTACATTAACTGTTTATCACAATACTTCAGATATAGGCCTGAGCACAATAGATAAACTGTATAATTAGGCTAATTTATTCACAATCAGATTATGTGTCTAAAATGACAGTATGTAAATATTTTGATTTCAAAATATTTGAATAATTACATGCATCTTCGAGGTAAACAAGCAGAGCCTTCTTCTTGTCCCCAGGATAGTCTTGAATTTGTAATACCTCTCCTCCAGACCTCCTTTTGTTTTTGAAGTACAAATCCAATTTGGATCTAATTTTGTCTAGGTCGTCTGGCAGACCCTCCAGAATCACAGTTTTTTCCCGTCATTATTCAATTAGGTCGACCTATATTGATTGAAGCATCATAATATTTGTATGCCTCTTTTTCAGAAACTTCGATTCCTCACCTGTCCTTTTGAAGTGACAGTTCGAATCTCAGTGGAACAACGATTATTTTTGCTAATATGTTGTGTTAAGCCCTTATGGTTGCGCCGTGCATAGTACATACAAAAACTTTCACTTTCGATTTACACCTCGTGACTTTGAGGAACTTGAAGTAAGTTTGATTGTAGCAGCTGCAGAAAATGGGTCACTCTTACCCCGCCAAGCCTGTTGTGAATGGAAAGGTAGCTAAAATCCTCTAGGTCTTTGGCAGTCATTTACATTGACTACTGATTTTCCTAAATTAATCAAATCTTACAAATAGATGGATCAGAGCAATGATGACTGTCTAAAGCCATGGAAGAGCTGGATAAATTGAGGGTAGATAGCCTATTTGCACATTGAAATAGATCAGCTATCTATTAAATTAAAGGTTTGTTTTAACATATATGTTTCTTTACTAATATGCAGACAAAACTTGAAAAGGCAGAGGACGAAAAATCTAGGCTGCAGTTGTCAAAACTGAAAATTCAAAGAAAAAGACTCAAAAAGATTTGGTAGTCCTTCAACAGCAGGGGGAGCAACGTTAGGATGAGTTCATTAAAACTGTGAGAGGGCTACAGGTAGGCATTTACCTGGCCATGCCAGAAATCTCTTTATTTAAAGCCATTTAGGGCAAGTTGTGTTCTCTGCAATAGGTTCATTCAGGTGAATAAGATAGAGGCTGTGGTGGATGATTCACATATGTTTTTTGCATGGTATTGTCTGTTACACAGGATGATATCTTGATGCTCGAGAGAGGTAACAAGGATCTGATGGAGAAACGGAAAAAAAGCCATTCTAAGCTACAGGCCAAGAGGACAGAGTCTGCTACACTCCAGGCTGGGATCACCTTCGAGGAGGATAAAGGTACAGGAATCAGGACGGCCAGATATGGTCCCTTTGTCTGCTCATGTTGGATTAGCCTTTGATATATATAATAAAATAGATCACTTACTTTTGTGGCTTGATAAAGACAGGACAAATTAATGTATAGTAATGTACTGTACAAATCAGATTTGATCTTATTCCAGAGTTATCTATGTTCGTTGTATGTGTAATACTGGGTTCTCCTTTTTTCCCCAGTGGCAGCCCAGATCCTGAAGATGGCCAAGTGCACTGTGTCCTGTGACAAAGACAAGGTGTATGTGAAGCCTAAAAGCCTTACACTGGACCCCTCTGTCAAGTTTGAGGTACAGTAGTTCACACAATTAATGTTATAATTAAGTACCTTGAAGACATTAAAGAGCGACTGCCTTTAAAAATAAATAAATCCTTTTGAAAATGGTTTATGTGGCATTGATTAGAGTCAGAAACAGTTATTCTAGTGTCAAAATTGACTACAAAGTGTAAATAGGATAATTTTGGTAATAAAGTCAGTCTCGTCTAAAACTGAGTTTGGAACATCTGTGCGTCACAATGGGTAAATGAAGGTTGGGTTTTTATTTGATGATGTCCATTTGCCAACTAATATGGGGTGAACAGCTGTGGCGATTGCTCTATCCAATAGCATAGACAGTGAGACACACCTGCCCAGCAGCTCCTACTTTGTTTACATGAGACAACACGTTGCGCATTTTTGAACTTGAGAAATACTGCACCAAACAACTTAGTTAGATGTAAAATTGCGCAACTAAAACATCCTCGGCAAAAACGTCAAATTAATTACACGCAGCTGGGTCATGCAGCAAGACAATGATCCAAAACACACAATCAAGTCTACATGAAAATAGCTAAAAAGCAACAAATTGGAAGTTTTGGAATGGCCTAGTCAAAGTCCAGACCTAATCCCAATTGAGATGTTGTGGCAGGACTTGAAACGAGCAGTTCATGCTTGAAAACCCACACGTCACTGAGTTAAAGCAGTTCTGCATGGAAGAGTGGGCCAAAATTCCTGCACAGCGACGTGAGAGACTGATCAACAACTACAGGAAGCATTTGGTTGGAGTCATTGCAGCTAAAGGTGGCACAACCAGTTATTGAGTGTAAGGGGGAAATTACTTTTTCACACAGGGGAATTGGGTGTTGCATAACTTTGTATAAATATGTAATTGTTGTGTTATTTGTTCACTTATGATCCCTTTATCTAATATTAGGTTTTGGTTGAAGATCTGATAACATTCAGTATCACAAATATGCAAAAGTAGAGAAAATTAGAAAGGGGGCAAATACTTTTTCATAGCACTGTAGAAGACATCCAGGATGAGGAGGACTTGCAGGACTACCTGGAGATTGACTTCCAGAAGCCCAGTAACTACGGTGGGGAGGTGGAGTTCATCAAGTACATCTCCAGGGGCAAGGAGGTGAAAGCCTTCTTCACTGAGGATGCTGCTGAGATGGAGGCCTAACATTAACACTAACGGCCATCCTCTTACGGTACATCTATACTCATGTTCCTCAGTACTTGGTACCACATGACTATGCCTTAGAAATTATCAGTGCTGATGCATTAATCAGCATTCACCATGAACTCGACACCCCACTGACATGCAGCACTATATGATGCCAAAACTGATATGTAAGTCTTATACAAAGTTGATACAAAGTTTAACAAGGCCAAACAACATGCATGATAGTGCCTTATGCATTGCCTTACGCCTCAAGCACTTAGATGCAGTGCCTTAGACCACTGCGCACATCGGGAGCCCAATATGAATATGATTATATGATCTTTGTTAGAAGGAGGCAAATAAAAATGCACAATACTGTTGTTTACATCTAGGGATACTATGCCTCTTTTTCTGTGCCAAGCATCTTTGGTATGAATCAAGGTATTTGTTATGCTCAACTTCAAACCAAGGATTTTCATCTGTTATCATGAAATGAGTCATCAATATATTCTATGGATAACTTTATTGATCAGCATTAAAACCATAATACAATTGAGAATTGCATTGTCTAAGGTACCACTCAGCTCATAATGACTGCTGAAGGCCACTAGATGGTAGTGCCTTGTCATTATACAAACACTAGAAGACACATCTTTACCAATTCAGCCATGCATCATAAACTGACCTTGAATGGGCTATTTCAGGTAATAAGCTATTCGTTACGTCAACATAGCAGGGATACAAACATCCCATAATGTTGATAATTTGATAGGAAATGCAATCATCAGAAATGCAAAGCATAGGCATCTAGGATACATGTAGGATACATTGTATGCGTTCCAAATGTATCCCAAATGGCACCCTATTCCATATATAGTGCACTACTTACAGTGCTCTGGTCTAAAGGAGAGCACTATTTAAAGGGAATAGGGTGCCATTTGGGACGTACACATTCTCTGTTATGGACACTCATAAATCCCACAGTGGCCTTTAAAGGTTTTTTTCATAATTGAAAGCCCTAAAACTGCAGTGATTGCCACCAATCACAGCATGCCATGTCATAAGTCAAGAAGTATGGCTATTCATAATATTTATTGATTTTCCCTGACTTAACCCTTACTGTAAATCAATCCCTGACATGAATATGGAGGTATTAAAGCACCGCCGCTGTTAAATCGTGGCCGCCACTGCAAAATATTTTGTATCACCAAGATATAAAAACTAGACGTCAGGGAGAATCCATTTTTTAAAAATGGCATGGGGTCCCCATTGATTTTGTTATGTTTGAGTCACTCAGATAGTATAAGAACATGGCATAAGCCGTGGCTAATTGTGTTGAACTAGCTTTACAACTGTAAATGTTCTCTCCACCACATGGCAACATGTGTAGAATTGGAGGAAATTAGCTTTAAAACAGCAACATTTTGTCTCTGTGGCCAAGAGGATGGCCTCTAAAACCTCTCAATTGGCCACGCTTATAGCCCCCCCACGCTAACCTTGCCACTGCTGCTGAAAAAAATCCTAGGGGAAACATTGCTATGGCAGTCTGTGTGTGCTGTTCCATTGAGTTCAACACCAATGAGGACCAAAAGCAATGCCCAGTATAAGCTTACAGCCTGGCAAGATCTTTTGTCACTTTATAGTTTATATCTATCTTCCAGCCCTGGCTGACTCTTTGAGTGAGGTAATGAGAATTTACAATACGAGACATTGAGGCTGTGTATGTACAGTGAGACGGTAGTAAGTCATGCTAGGGAGACTGAAAGTGAAATGGGGAGGAAAGATCCCTTAATGATTTAACCCGTCTGTCACTGCAGGCAGGCAGGTGCCTCAGAGAGAGAGAGAGAGAGGGACTCCTCCCTCTGGCTCACCTCTGCCTGCCTCCCCTATCCTACCTCCCCCTAACCCCCCTGCCTGCCTCAGTGCCTCCTCCTGTCTCCCCCTGCCTCTCCTCTCCTACAGCTCATAATTAGTTGAAAGGTGGCTGCTTGTCCCTAAATCCCTGGGTTCTATAGAGTATGATACATGTTACAGGCCAGTGTGAGTTAAGAATGTCAGAATAGACACATTTGTCCAAATCTCTCCAGGTGATATCTTGGGGGATAGGAAGGATGAAGCCAGACTTTCATAGCCCAGAGCGTGATCTTTTTCTTCTTCCCTTTTACCCTTTTTTTTTACCCCTTTAACAAACATATTAGGTGGTTGATTAGGTGATTGATGCACTCTAGAGATTTGCACTGTGACAGAGTAAGAGAGGCTGAAAGAGTGTGAAACAGGGAGAGAAATTGAGAGAGGGGGAGAAACAGGAATCGAAAGATAGTGTGACAATTGAAGTGCTTCCAAACGGCACATCACCACCCCTGATTCGATTCCCTGTGTTTGAGTGGTAAGGGATATTCCTCAATAAAACCTTTATCTCATTTTGGCAAGACAAGCCGCTGGCACTCTGAATGGAGCCAAAATAAGCCAAATACATTTCCTGGCGAGGATTATTTAGCCTTCACTCAGTCACTCAAATAAGATGAATGTCTCCCCATA